ATACAGGAAAACGATCTAGGGAGTAATGCTGTGAAGATGCCTACACAGGGGAACAAAAGTCACATCAGACATTCAACCAATTATGGATTTGGCCTGACCTTTGAATTTCTGGACAAAGATCCCAAAATCAATGGAACCACTTCTGATTCACTGTAACATTACTAAACACAAGCTCTGCCCTCATAGCCTCTGGGTATGGCTTTTCCACAGTAACAATGCTCTGATTCTCTATGTAGGTATGCACGTTTGTAATATTCACCTGATGTAGCTTACTCAGTGTTTCGTGGGCTCTAGGATCTCATTTAAGCTGTCTGCAGACTGGCAGCAAGACGAGGCACTGGGCAACCAGTTAGGAACTCATCCTCCCATGTCAGGAAAACATCTGTCCTGGTCTGAGAGCTGCTCTACAGACCCGAATGCAGCTAAGCAAGATGCAGTCAGCAAACGTGGTGGGTACGGGATATGTTGGTGAGAAAGGTTCTGTGTCCAGCACTGTGATATGTGACACAACTGAAATGATGGAGCTGTAATTCTAGGAATTCCGGGAGGTACTGATGCACAAACTGTTTGAACCCTACTGTTCTTGGTGATTTTATTACCAGAACTCCTAAATTGGATTGTAGCCTCACGGCTTGTTGTTCCCTACTGTTTCTTCTTTATGTAAACTCTTTGTGTCATCATGATCTAGAACCGTTTTCGGAACAGCATTAATCTTTTTGTAATGTGACCTTGCCCTGCTAATATTTCCTCTCCGAGAGTTTATGAGGAGCTTGTTGCCTTTGTGCTCTGAAGTGCTGACTCCAGCTTTCTGAACACGCTGTCTGCTTGTCCAAGTGTGAGGGTTATGCATGGATTGCTGCTGACCTGCTGGGCTTCAGTAATTTTTGTTTATGGTAGAGAGGGTGAAAAACTCCGGGCAGTGTAATCGGTCTGACAGCCACTTCCACAGTGTCTGTGGTCTCACAAAGGAAAATGCTGTCAAAACAACAACGCCGTGAGGGATATTAATGACAAAGTTCAGATGAGTGGGGCTTTGAATATGTGTAGTCTGATGACTACGGAGAGACTGTGGTGCATTCACATTTGTGATGCCTTTGTATGGACACAGGTGGAGTGGGGGATGCTTCATGGGAAACACGACAGTAAAGCTGTCATGTTTTAGTGTTTTAGTGAAGTAAGTAATCTTTCTCAGACTTTCCAGCATGACATCTTGAAAAAGACTGTTTCTCAGCTTGCTGGTGTTTTTGGTGTTGCATTCAATTTTCTGTTTCATGCGTTCTCATTCCCGTTTCAAGCTTGGCGTTATTCATTGTATGATAGAACACTTTGATATTACACTGCCAGATAGCAAAACAAAGAACAAGATAGGTACGATCATTAAGTTTCTGTAGCTGTAGTGATCCTAGGATAAAAGCAAGGCCAGGTTTGAAGGGAGAAATAGTGCCTTGTCTTGAACTGATCAGTTGTAGCTGTGAAAAGTCCAGGAGAAAAAGGTCGTCTCCAGGCCCTGGAGAGATCCATGTCTTAGAAACTGCACAAATGCCCTCAAACAGATATATACAGGGTGTCAGTTGACATAGACTGTGGAGAGAACACTGTGTGCATATTTTTATACCAATATTCACATTGCAAGAAGTAAGTTTCTTAGCTTGTGTCTAACTGTTGTTAAATAGAATTGAAAATTCCAGTTCTTAAAGAGCGTTGCAGGCTCTTTGTCGGTGTATGTTTGTTTATGATGCCAAAATCTGTATGGTAGTTTCTCTATGGGTCGTTTAAATCCTGGGCAGTGTTATGGTAGTTGAGGAAAGAAGAAGCAACAAAACAAATTTTCCAAATCTTACTTTGTAACCCCACCATCTTCTGGCTCTCTGCGGTATTGCCTCAGCATTCAGTAGGCAGAAAGAAGTAAAAAAAAAAAAAAATTAAAAATTGCAAATGTATTCCATCTGCTGATTGAGACCTGGATTTGTAACCCTGGCTCAGAAATCACCTTTCTGTAGACTCGTTTACAGAATGTACTTCAGGAGGTTAGTTTGAGAACACAAGACTTTTTACCGTATCCTTGCTCCTCAGCATCCTGCCTTCATTCCTCTCTCAGTTCTTCCTTGGTCGGGCCGCAGTTTTTAGCACTCACTAACCATTTGCAGTGCTAGTCCATCAGTACTTCACAGTGAAAGGAGAAAGTTTATAAATTCCATCAGTTTTCAGGGCTTTTGTCCCCTTCTTCAGCCATTTATCCTCCATCTGCTGTGCCCTCAAGGAGCAAATATTCCGCTTCACACCGAAGGACTGGTGTGAAATTGTTCTTGCGTGCTACGGGAAGTCTGATCCTGGCAGTACAAAGATGGGAAGATGATCTTGCTTGGTCTCCTCACTGGCAGATCTGTGTGCTATCTTTTAATTGTTCTGCAGTAATTTCTCTCGCTCCATCTGTTGGAATTGTGTGCTTTGGAAAGGCCTCTCTAGTGTTCTGTGAACAGTCTCTGGAAAGATGTGGCGCAGTGCTTCGGCATGGCCTAGGGAGTTCCCTTGTTTAAAGAATAAAAATAGTAATAGTTAAATCTTCAGAATCATCAGTGCTGAGCAATCGGAGTTAAATTCTCTGCAGATGGATGGCCTGTGCTCCCTTGCATGCTGCACTTAGGACAGGGCACATCCTACGCCTGCCAGCTCACTTCTGCTCTCTGTGGCTGCTGCTCCTTCACTTGGACTAGCAGAAGTCTTGCCCTCTGCTTTTTGCTTTCCTGATGCGCCAACAACTTAGGCAAGTGGAGAATCTCTGTACAATTTGCTTCTTGGATAAGGCTGAATAGTGGCAACTGCCTGGGCATGCATGCCATGGCTGGGCTGTGAAAACTAGCACCAGTGGCCACAAGATGTGTAAGCAATCGTGTGAGAGATGACTGGGCTCTGGGTTTTAAGCCCTCAGGCTGTGCAATCTGTGAAGAGTCTTGTTGGCCAGGATGTCAAGAAGAGCTTCAGTTCACTTAGTTTGCATCTGGGTTGGGGATAGGCAAAGCTTAGGGGCCAGATCTGAGCTGCCATTTCAAATCTTATAAAACAGTGCAACTGTATCTGGTTTCCTGCGTAGTACTGTTCCTTCCATCTGTTATATATGCATCCAAGGAGCAGGGCGAGATTACCGCAGGATTCCCATTTTGGATCCAAGTGAGTCTACAAGTGGAGGGTTGCAATCAAGGGATTAGAATTTGAACCTGACGTAAAAATGCAGATTTGTGTCAGTGCTTTGTTTATAGAGTCTCTCTAGAAAATGCTTTTAGGAATTTTGGCTGGGAATTATTCATGATTGAAATTAAAATGATTCCAGGGAATTTATTTCGAGGAGGGTAGTGGTGGCTAACATTTAAATAGACACAATGCTTTCATTTCTCCTCTTCTGTTTTGACTTAGATTGCTCATACCATACCACATTAATCAAAGGTTGTTCCCATCATTCTTGTTAAGATTTAACCTGGTAAAAGCCGTCTTCGTTTTAACAGATCATTCCAAAATAATGATTAACGTACCTCTAGCAAAGCTTAAGTGTGTCAAATACCACTGGTTCCCTTTGAGAGACTGTGAGTTTAAAGAACGTTCCTGGTGTGAAGTCTTCAAAGAAAAAAGCACCCAATAATGCACAATGTAGAAATGTTGGTGTGTTTTCTGATTCATATAAATTAAATTAGCGTAATTTAGTATCTGTTTTTTTGATTTGTCAAAAGTCAGAGAGGAAGATACCAACTTGCAGTACAACTCTATCTGAACCAGCCTGTAGAACGTTCCAGTAAGGATTTGAATAAACGCCTGAGTAGTTTAAACCCAGACGTGGAGTCAGAATTAACATAAGAGAGGTTTCTTCATGCGAATTTGTAGGTTTTATCTATTTATATTTATTTCTTTTTAGAGAAGTACTCCTAAGTTACCATATGTAACTTCTTTACACACCAAAGAAACATTAATCATGTTTTATTGCATACTCTGAACGTTTGATTTTGCTCTTTCTCCCCATTGCCTGACTTCTCGTATGCCTGCTGAAGACCTACTAGCTCCTACTAGCTGTCTCCAAAACAACCTTCAGTATCTGCACATACTCTGAACGTTTGATTTTGCTCTTTCTCCCCATTGCCTGACTTCTCGTATGCCTGCTGAAGACAACCTTCAGTTTCTGCACATGTAATCATGAGAAAGCATACCATGCCAGGTCTTTGCCTATTAGCCCTATGATGTTACCTGTCACACTAGCGCTGACATTCTCTAGGTCTGGTGACTTGCAATGCCTTAGCTTTCTTGGTACAGGGTAGAGCTACAGCTCATTTCCCATGGGTTTACGCTCCTGTGTGTAAAGTACATCCAAGTTTCTGGTGTAACGGAACAGCTAGAAGGCACGGTAGTCGTTTTGTAGGAGCCCATAGGACAAAGATGCATGCCAGGGAAAGAACTGTAATTCAGGTGGGGAAGTTTCAACTAAACACCTGTGGTATATACGGTCACCCTTAAAACTTGCTTACTGAATACTGATACCAGAGGAGATGGTGAATTGAGACATGTTTGGGGAGCTGGGGCTGTCTCTGGAAGGAAAATAATCCCGGCTGTGTAAATATAATGCCTGGTTTCTGGCTGCGACGAAACTGAAAAGCATCAGTGAAGATGGATTTTGCATGCCCGGTGTGAGGCGCCTGTCAGTGAGAGCCAGGATCCTCTCAATACCTGTGCCTGCAAATAGGGCCTTATGTGTAATTATTTATGTAACAAATCAGCAGAGTGGAGAGACTCCTGCTTGCAGATATCCTAAGTTTCTTATAGGATCTTCACCAATACATAGGGTCTTTATAGGGTTCTTTACCAAAACCAGACTACAGATACAATCTATAAATGTATACACTGATGATGAGTAAAAATCTGGGGTGACAATGGAAAAGTTCAATGGCACTTTTTAGCCAGTCAATCTCACAGTATGATCCTGATTCACAGTAACGCCTTCTTGTATTCCCACCCAACAGCAATACAGATGTGCACACCGTGGCATCACTGCTTAAGCTGTACCTAAGGGAACTCCCAGAACCAGTCATACCGTATGCAAAATACGAAGATTTTCTTTCCCATGCCAAAATGCTCAGCAAAGAGGAAGAAACGGTGAGTTGGCACCTTGAGAAAGATGAAATAAGAGGCTCGCATGTTATCCTCTGCTCTGGCTTTGAAGAGAGAGGCTGGTGATTACCTATCATAATTTAAGATGTGCGTGTGTTAATTGAGGCTGGGTTTGTATGAAAATTGTTGCCACCTATGTCATTTGGGAGTCTGCATAAAGGTGCATAGCGTAACCTTAGCCGTATTGATTGCATGTCACTGAATCCAGTTCAAGTAAATTCCATTGTGGTCAGTAGCTTCCATTTTGCGTGGAAGAGGCTTATATTTTTTGCGGATTATCGTTCCGAATTGTAAAAGCAAGGGTCTTAGTGGTTGCTGTCCAAGCCTTGCTATTAAATCATCTGTCACTTTCTTCTGAGCATCAGGGTGCCAACTTTTACTGACTTGACTGAAGGCCAACAGATTCATGCCTATCGTTGTCTATTCATGGCCTGTCACTGAATTGGAAGGCCTCAAAAAGATGGAAGCGGCCCACCTTGCAGATTCTTTTACAACAGCATAACACAGATGAGCAAAATAAGGCTTCCGACTGACACATGCCCTGAAGTGGCATGGGCCTACTGTATATTAATCTGAAGACATAAGAAACTAAATGCTTATTTTTACACAGTTCTGTGTGCTTATGGGTAATAAGGTCAACCCTGATACTTTCTTTTCAAAGTAAGTACAGATAGGCTTATTCTGTTGATTCCAATATACTCCCCTAAATTTCTAAGGTGGTTATTTCTGTTTAATTTCTTTTCGACAATTCAAATCCTACTAGAACTGGAGCCCTTCCTACCTAATCTTCTGGTTAATTGAGTAGGAACCCCTCTTTGCTAACTGAAAGGCTGTCTCCTTTCTGAGCTGTCAGTTGGTGACTACCAACAGCAGAGGCAGTGGTTGTCCCATCTGAGGGAATGGCAGGGGGGAGAAAGATCTGAAGCAAACTGTCTCTAGGTCATAATCTGTTACACCCACTGAAATCTGACTGGTTTCTTTGCTGTCCTTCACCGCTGGCTACAAGGGGCAGATTTTTGTCAGCTGCTTGCAAAAAGTGGGAGTGGGCTGTTCAGCTGGTTTAATTTGAGCTGCTCTTTGTACAAGTTTTGGTAGGGGATCCTCAGAGCTAAAGTTGCAGCCGTTTGCTTGTGCGTGTTGCATGTGTCTAACCATGCCCCACCGTAAAGCCACCTGACAGCTCCACAGCTAGTCGTCATGCAGTTTATACTTGGCAGTGATACTCAGTTTAGGATGAATTTTTTACTCGTAGAATGGGTTGGGTTGGAAGGGACCTTAAAAATCATCTACTTCCAACCCCCCTGCCGTGGGCAAAGAACTCATTTTATAATGGCTTAGTCCAGAGTATGTTTGTGTAGTTCCTCTGCAACTATGCCACCAAAGCTTTGTTAAATTCACTCTGAACGCAAGATTCAAATTACAGTGGACTGTTGGTGCTGGCAGTTTATGAAAAATCTGTGCTAGAGATCATGAGCCACTTCAGTCCTCTCTGTGGTGGCTTCGCAGTCCAGCTGTAAGGCTGAGTGGATTTTCCATTGACCTTTCTCCATGCAGAAGTGCAGTCACTGTTAAAGGAGAGGGCTGTGCGTCCAACAACAGTTGAACTTGATGAACTTAAAGGTCTTTTCCAACCTAAAAGATTCTGTGATCTTTTTTCCTTTCTTAGCCCACAGCCAGCAACCTTGTGCACTATCACGGCCCACCCATCTTGATTGGCGTCTGTTTTCATAACATATTGTAATCCAGACCCCACTGATGCTGGCAAAGTACCAAAACCCCATCCTGAAAAGGAGTCTAAAGGCACTGGTTGGTAAGGAGCATAGCCAGGGTCTGTTTCCACAGGGCACAAAAATCAGTGTGTGATATTCTGGTTGTCCCATTCCCAGGGTGGGCACAAACTGAAATACCTGTTGATTGGTCAGAAGCCGGTATGGACCAGAACTGTGTAAAATACCCAAATAGTTTCTCTTACAAAAATGCCAACTGGGTCAAACCAGAACTGTTCCTGGAAGCCACAGCCATGTTATTAGCAGGAGGAGGAATGTACCTGCTGATCAGAAAAAAGGAGTGAAAGAGAAGGGCAAGACAGGATGAAACCAAGTTTTTTGTTTACTTGTTTATCCAGAGCTAATCTTTATTAACCAAATATAGCCTTCTGCACCCAAAATGGGTTCTGCAGGCTGTTCCTGATGGTAACCTGTAGGTAGCATTTAACACTGCAGTTTCAGTGGTGTGTTTATTGTCTTGTAACTGGAGTTGCTGATGTTTTTTTGAATCTCTGGTAAAACACTAAGAAACTGTGCCTCCTCACTTTTTTTTTTCCTCCTTAAACCACTGCAAGGGCCTGAAAGAACTGGTGAAGCAAGTGAAGAGCCTGCCAACTGTCAACTATAATCTGCTGAGGTATATCTGTAGGTGAGTGCTCTTGCAAAAATATCACAGTGATATTTATAACTGTGAGCTGACAGACAAACTGGTCTGTGAAATACAGGTTTACTGCATGGCTGACTACTAATTTGCCCTATCAAGGTGCACAGTTAGGACTTTCATAAGCAGGCTGCACTCAGCGAGGCATGCAAGGAGGTAGAAGTGAACATATTCTGTCCTCTTTGTAGGACCCTGGTTTTCCCACCTCCAACTGTACTTACTGGCCTTGGCTGTGCACTGCTGAAGCATCCTCAAAACCCATGTATGCCTTTGAGTGTATAGAGTAGTTTTTTGGATGCTTCTAAGACCTTAAAGAATGTCTTACACAGTTGCAATTTGTGAACTTACAGAAAGTTCCCAGCATTAAAAAAAACCCAAAACAAAACAAAACCCAAAAAATAAACCACCAAACATTTTTCAAAGAATACAAGCTGCTTTTTTAATTGTCAGTTTGCATTTTAAGGATATCTTATGAGCCAAGTAGTTGATTATCTATGCTGGAGAAAGTTACTGTCCTCAACAGAGTTACCTTATATTCAGTCCAGACTGAGATTTGAATTTTGTTATCAATGTATGATTTTGAAGAAAATCTGAAGAAGCTGAGAATAGCCTTGAGCTTTTCATGGTGCTCCACAAGGATTTGGAATGGAATACTTACACTGTGTTAAGAAACAATCACATTTTCTCCTTTTCACATGTTCCTTAAAGGCCTCTTTCTTCCCTACAGGTTCCTTGATGAAGTCCAGTCTTATTCAGGTGTAAACAAGATGAGTGTGCAAAATCTGGCTACCGTTTTTGGCCCCAACATCCTTCGCCCCAAAGTGGAAGATCCTCTGACTATCATGGAGGGTGAGCTTACTGTACATACCCTGTAATAGAAAGAAGGAATGCACGTCTTCAGGTTTATTGACAGAACCCACCGGTCCGTGTAGTACGTGCAGTCAGTCCTGTATGTCTGTTTTATAGACACAGAATTCCCCAACCTGAATGAACTTACAGGATAAGTCTTGGAGGTTACTATGAAAGCGACTGAGATGTGCAGCATTGCAAACAGGCTTTGCAGGAGACTCTGCTGCCCTGGCAGCCTCACTGAAAATGGACTTGTTCTCTCAAAGCCTGCTGCAAATAGGGCATGTTCTTATTCAGCACGTGCGGTCGGAGAGCAGTTAGTATTTTATCTGCGGGTTTTAAGGATGAGAAAAAGTTAGCACAGGTTCCTACTGCAGTGACCCATGTAGAATTCCCCACAAAGCAGTGGTGTATCACGTGCCTTCTTGCAGAACAGCAATAAAATTGTCAGCTACATTCTATTATTTATAGCAATGTCCAGCTATAGCATTTTGCTGTGAGTCAGACAAAAACATAGCCATGACAACCTCCTCCTGTAATTTACTCCTAGGCTTAATCTTTGTGACTTCATTTCTCCATAAAGTACACGATGCCTTGTCTCCTTCCAAACACTTCTTTCTTAATATGTAGGGTTTACTTAACTTTCTCAGAAATTAGGGCAGTACGCAGCCCCTGCATTGAAAATCTGACCAAAACTCAAAAATGCAGCGTTCATGGTTTATTTGAGAGCGGGTGGATTTATTCTTTTTCTGTGAGTTTAATCCTTTTTCTCTTTTCCAGGTACAATTCCACATATGCTTTGTTCATTTACTTGTTTTCCTGAAGTCTTGTGTTTCCCCCTTCTTCCTTTTAATTCTTAACTCGACGACTATGTTGTTGTCAACAGAAACACGGTGTTTCCACATCATGTATGAAAGCAGTGAATACCCAGGGTTAGCTGAACAGCAGCTCAGACAAAGCAGAAAATCTGTCATGGAAAGGGTTTTTAATCGTTATCTTCACTTCAGTGTCTGGATTCTTACTGTTGCAGGGAATGGTTTGATCATGCATTTGACTCAAACGGGTTTGCAAGAGCAGGTGTCCAATTTACACGCAGGTTTATTCTAACTGTTATGTTTATTCTCGCTTCCTGTCGCTTCACTGTCATCCCCTCTGTACCTGCAGAACTGCCAGACTGACTAGAACAGTAGTTTCTCTTACCATGACACTTCTGTAGAGCCTATCAGCCTGATAGGTAACTGCTGTGAATGTTTCTCTTGGTCAGGCAGCAAACTGTCCTTTTTTATTCCCCATGCTTTTGCATTAAGTAATATAAAAAGTACTTCAAATAGCTGAATAAATCAGAATTGGAGAGAGATGTCGCAGCGCTCATCATAGCGCTTAAGTAGATGCGAACGGTGTCTGCAGGATTACGTTTGCTGGTAGGATACTGTGTATCCCCAGCTCACCTGGGGCAGGGGAGACTAATGGAGATTAGGGATGGGGAGAGAGGAATTAACCATTCCTAAATAAAATACTGTCGTCTAGGTTTGTATTTTTCCGGAACTGGCTGCTGCCTGAAGTTCGTGGATTTTACCATGGATCATGAGCAAGAAAGTTTTTGGGTTTTGGTTGGGTGGTTGTTTTGGTTTTGTTTTTTTTAACTGGGTGGAAAGAGAAAATAGTATGGTTTTCCACTTCTTCAGAGCAACTCTCCAGCCTGCTTATCAACAGCCCTAGCCCTAAAATGATAGTGGCTGCTGTAGGAAATGGCATGGATACTATACTCATTGAAGGGAAATATGTATTTTTTTTAAACTAATGAGAAACAGTGTGATTAAGCAGGTTGCTGACTTCTCCTTAAGCATAACTTCAGGATCTGACATGAGACGATGCTGACTTGCAGTTGGACTGTTCGTAGGAATTTCTAACAGAGACTCTGCATCAGTTGGTGCTCATGGCCACCCTTCTTCACTGATCTTTGCTTTTTAGAAGATAGAGAGTACTTTTCTTACAACCATTCCAAGTCAGACATGCAGCTAGGAGTAACCATACCTGTCCAATGGGGATAAGGAGTTGGTTTTGTTTGGTTCAAGAGAGATTTTCCAGAATTCGAATCATGGGCAATTTTTTCCTGCTAAGCACATTGGTAAAATTTGCCTGAGTACACAACAGTGTTTGTAGTAAAATCCTGCACATAACAGCTAATGTTTTCAGAGGGAACACAGCTACATGTGCCATGGGAGTAGCTAAGTGACTTTTCCTGCTGCATAGTTCTAATGTCTGATTTTTGCTTTAGCAAACAACCAAGAACATTAAAAAACCCGTTGTTGAGTAGCCACGTTGAATTGGCTCTTAGCAGTTGTATTCTGAAAGGGTGGGGCTTGAAGATCCAGAATATTATGAAGGCGTAGCACGAAATGATTGCTTAGAAGAGCACGGCATGCCTCTCTGAAAGCTCTCTAGGAGCTTAAAAATGGGGTGGTTATTGTAACTACCTTGGCCTTCCCAAAATATTCCTAATACTCCTTAATGAGAGTCTGCTTAGGGTAATAGAGTTGCATGTCTTTATTAGTCCAGTTATAAATGCTCGTGTGTAAATTGGAGTGCAGTCAAGAGGTGTGCACACCGCGGGGTTGCTCTTTAAGAGGAATGGTAGCCATTTATTACAGCAAGGAGCGAGCAGTGGTCCTGCATTAGTTCCATAGTGTGCTATAACATGGCACAGTTTTCCAGTACCAGTTCCAGTACCATAGTTTTCCAGTACCAGTACCAGCAGTTTTCCAGTACCTGAAGGGGCTACAAGGGTGCGGGGAGAGGACTTTTCACAAGAGCCTCTAGTGACAGGACAAGGGGTAACGGGTACAAATTGAAAACAGGGAGGTTTAGATTAGATATCAGGAAGAAATTCTTCACAGAGAGGGTGGTGAGGCACTGGGACAGGTTGCCCAGAGAAGCTGTGGATGCCCCATCCCTGGAAGTGTCCAAGGCCAGGCTGGATGAGGCTTGGAGCAACCTGGTCTAGTGGAAGGGGTCCCTGCCCATGGCAGGGGGGGTGGAACTGGATGATCTTTAAGGTCCCTTCCAACCCAAACCGTTCTGTAATTCTATGATTCTGTGATAGTTTCCTGGTTGCATATAGTCTCACTATAGAGTGGTTAAAGGCATTCATATTTAATTAAATATGTCATGTTACTGCCCTGTTTCGACTACAAAGACTACAACATCTGTGTTCTAGCAATGCAAATCCCTTGCCTGCCCATTTTCTGTTAAACTACTGCATACAGGTGCTGTGCCAGACTAAGACTTTGGTTTTAAAAATGATTGCCCCTTTGTGTTGAAACACATCACTTAAACAATGATGTTATCCTTCGCTCTTCACCTTCTTCTGTGGTCATCCTGTGGTGCAGTTACTGTCATGGTAGTAGCTTCTTCACAAAAGTTCCTGCCCTTCGGGGGTCCCCGAGGCCTGCTGGCTTGGTTCGGCAGAAGGAAGAGGTGGTGTTGAACTGGTGCGGGGACTTCTGGCCTGTTAAACGCTATGGGTGTTACACAAATGGTTGTGTTGCATAAATGTTTGTGTAAGCTGAATGTTTGCTAAGTATTTGTGGAATCTGTTGGATATAAAGTATATTTATGCCCTAGACAAAACAGGCCATTAATGACCATGTGCGTGGTGTCTCCTTTCAGGTACAGTAGTAGTCCAGCAGCTAATGTCAGTGATGATTAGCAAACATGAAGAGCTCTTTCCCAAGGATGCTGACTCTCAGATGGGACCTGAGGTTTGCCACAACAACAATGAAATACCAAAGAAAGCTATCGTGGGGCAGCTACAGAACAAAGAGAACAACAACACCAAGGAGATGGCAGTGAGGCGCTGCTCTTGGGACAAACCTGAGTCTCCCCAAAGGGGAAGCATGGACAGTGAGTCTCCAACTGCTCTGCCAGGAAGCAAGACAAATAGCCCCAGGAACAGCATCCAGAAATTAGATGTCACCAGAAGTCCACCACTCATGGTGAAAAAAAATCCTGCTTTTAATAAAGGCAGTGGCATAGTCACCAATGGGTCCTTCAGCAGCTCTGTGGAGGGCCCTGAGAAGAGCCAGACCTTACCAAACTGTACCCTGCAAACCCGGAGAACGTCATCCCTGAAAGGAGCGGTGACGAAGATGGGCACACACAGCGTGCAGAACGGGAGTGTGCGGATGGGTGTTTCGAGCACAGACGGGCAGAGCAACACCCTCAGCAGCCGGACCCCGGGCTGGGTGCCCAATGGCTACGTCACACTGAGGGACAGCAAGCAGAAGGACTCGGTGAGTGAGTCGGGCCAGCACAACAGGCTTTCCACCTACGACAATGTCCACCAGCAGTTCTCGATGGTGAACTCTGATGACAAACAGAGCGTGGACAGTGCCACTTGGTCAACTTCCTCTTGTGAAATATCTCTCCCTGAGCACTCCAACTCCTGTCGTTCATCCACCACCACCTGCCCTGAGCAGGACTTTTATGCGGGTAACTTTGAAGACTCTGTGCTGGATGGACCACCACATGAAGACCTCTCTAACCCAGACGACTATGAGAACAAAAGTGACATAAGGAGTGTGGGCGGCCACAGCAGCCGAGCCACCAGCAGCAGTGATAACAGTGAGACGTTTGTGGCCAACAGTACCAACAATCACAGTGCTTTGCACAGCCTGGTGTCCAGCTTGAAGCAAGAGATGGCCAAGCAAAAACTAGAGTATGAGACAAGGATAAAAAGGTAAGGTGGTTTGGCTTTTACCATCTTGACTGCCTTTCGGGAGAACAAATCCAAGGAGTTCTCCCCTCTTGTGACTTGCTAGCAATCTGCACGAGCTGCAGTTACTGTGTGCTTGCCACTGACATTCCCATCTTTCGGTGTTGACACGCTCTGACATTGCTTTTATGACACAGTGATTCAAAGGGGTTCGTTTCAGAGCAGTCGGTTGCCGTGGTTGTGACATGCTATTCTGTGGCTTCAAAAACAAAGCCAGAAAGCTGTGAGTTTGCCCTCACAGTGTTTTCATTAGTTGATGCCTGTTCTCCAGAGACTGAGAAGGGCAACCGGGCATCACCTTTCAGTCAAAGCAGTGCCATGGCTTACTCCACCTATAGTTGTTGGGACTGGGGGACTGCTGGAATTCCGTTCTAGAGTCCGCGTTCCTCTTGAGACAGTGTTGTACCTGGGAGTGACCTCTGCTCACAGTCCTATCTCCACACCGCTGGTTTGCCGGAGCCTTTTCTTCACAGGTGGGGCATGCTGAAGGCAAGGGAGAGCTGTGTCTCTGTCTGCAGGTGGTGCGGACTCTCCTTGCACACAGTGGGATTGCTCGGGTGGATGGCCGTAATGCTCACGGCATAACCTCAAAGCCTGGGCTTAGCGTTAGCTAGCGCGCACAGCAGCGCAGAGCTTATTCCTTGTAATAAAGGTTCTTCGGCAGAGCTGTTCAGGACTTGTCTTCTCACCTCTGTTGTGCAGAAGCCCCTTGCGTTGGCATCTCGGACACTGCAAGTCATAGCTGGATCACAGCACAGGAGAACTACTGGCAAGGGCAGCGTACAGAAGATTGCAGTCTTCCGCCCACATCGCTCTTCTCAGCGCAGCATGCGCTGTCGTAGAGCACTTATAGAACGGTTTGGGTTGGAA